GAACCTTTCCACTGTAGCATGGTTAAATTTGCATCGTGATTTTGACTCATTTCATCATGTCAATTCAATCACAATATTATTTTCTAAGAAATCTAAGCTATTGTTTCATGTACTCCCAATCAGAACTTCCAAAAATGAAATATCGTAACTGAAACTTAGATGCCTTTTTTGTTTCACAAAGTCCCCCCTTTGAACAATATACAATGTATTAAATTTATTAATTACATCCTTTTATGATATGTTTTGTTCAATATGTAGTGATATGTGTTTTACAACTATTCTCATCGCAGATTATTTCACTGTCAATTACATAACATTTCTGTGAAGCAATCATGCTGATACCTGTGTTAATATGCAACATGTGTATACACAAAGATGCTGTCAAATTCATCTGTGATATATTAGATAGTGAAGATTACAACAGATTCTTTTTGATCTTTAACAAGTTGATTTTTTCCCAATTGGCAAAATGTTGCAACTAAAATTTCAAAAGAAAATATTCCATATAAAATAGCTTTTGTGACAACAATACATTGTAGTTTAGCGGAAAAGTTGAGCTATTTTGATAGCTGCAGCATCGTCATCATTGTCGTCATGCAAAAAATTTAATGTAGGCCATTACTCAGACAATTTTAAAAGATATATCATTATATATGAAACTTGATGTACTTTGCTTATCATGACAAGAGACAGTTGTAAGACAAGGGGCATAATTCTGAAAGCTATGTTTTTGGAGTTATGCCCCTTTTAAACTCATTGTCAAAAGTGGTTATTTTAACAGACAAGCCTTATAACAGCTCATACAGAGCTCTTGTTATTGGTTTGGTTTATGTTTTAAATTCCTGCTGGGCTTCTTCTGCGTCTGTTACATGTTGGCGATTTAGTACAGTAAAAGTGATGTAGTATTTTATGTGGAAGTAAAATTTACATTTTGCAATTTTTATGACAAATAACTTAACAATCAGCATTACTTTCTTTTAATGATAATCATCTAACATGTTGTAAATCCATTACTGAATTATTATAAAACATGTTTGCCCCTTTCTAAAGAAGAAGAAATTTATTCATTTCTGAGGCTAAATGTGCCTTTGATTTTCATCATTCATTTTCTCTTTTTTCATAGTTCACTTATCTTGACCCACACTAAATATCTTAAATGGACTTGTCCATCTTTAAATCTGGACAATTTCATTGACCAAGTTTAGGGGAAATTTCAAAATAAGGGACAGAATAGCGAACATTTCAGAGCATGATTCAGATGGCAAACCGATGTGCAGGCTGTTTCCAGTCTGCGCTGGTCACATGGGTTAATATTCATGCAGTAACCAAACAGGTTTTAAAAAAAATTCTCTGCAGTAAGAGGGTTTATATTATATAAGTTACTCCAAAATTATAATACTATTCAATATATATGTTTAGTTTAAAACCCTTAAGTAGCTTATATCAAAGCTAATTGTCCAATTGACTTTAGAAATGAGGGCTCTAATACGACAGCCATTCACCGAACCACTGATCTGATGTATATATTAAATACTTTTTCTAAGTCTAAAATGAGAAATTGACTACTGACTAACCAAAACTTAGGGAATTATAAAAGATTAGGCACTAGATTCTCATAATAGTTAGTAATTTTAACGGTTTCCTTTGTGTCCAAGGACTCAGTTGTATTTTAGCAATGGTTTGAGTCAGTGAATGTTTGATTGCCAATGGGAAGCTTGATGTTGCCAATGCATACAAAATGAGTTAGAAATTTGTTTTAGACTCGTAGCTTCTGTTTTGTGCTTTGTTCTTTTGTTCATTTGGATTTATTTTGGAATTTTATTCAAATAATAGGAATATTTGATTAAAAAAAATAAAAAAGCAAGAATGGACAAGACAACGATAATGCAATTTTATTTATTACAAAAGCTTGTAAGTAAGTTTTTTCATGATCGATACAATTTATTTTGATGAATAGATGGAACCTAATGCTATAAAATCTTTAAAATGGAATATAATTTTCATCTATGTTTTCTGTTAACATGATACCACATTAAATATCTAACATGGATTTGTGTATTTTACAATCTGAACAAATCCATTTGTCTTGAAAATTATCAGAACATTAAGTTTGCTAATTAAAGGAACAGTTAGGTAACAGACCATGATCAGACGGCATGTATGACATCAGATCCTGGTCTGTATCAGTCACATGAATACATGTAGAATCTGTTGCCACCAACTTTTTAGTAGGGGTGGCCATGGCTGAGTGGTTTAAGGTCGTCGACTTCAAACCACTTGCTCCTCTCCGCTGTTGGTTCAAGTCTCACTATAAACTTTGGCTAGCTTACGGAATGTTGATGGTTCTACTCAGGTACCTGGTCTTCCTCCACAAGTAAATCAGGAAAGTTGCCATATGACCTATACAGTGTTGGTGTGACATGAAATCCAACAACAATAAAAAAAACCTTGTTAATTATCAAATTCACATCCTGGCTAGGCAGCCCATTGCAATAGAACCTGCTCAAATAAATATTTCTAAAAATGTTTGTGCCTTTTTTAAAACTGCAATGTAAAATGATTATTTGCTTAAAGGCCACATTCTTGTACTAAAAAGAAAATTACATGGAAATACAATTACAATTCGTCATTATCTTGAATATTATAAAAAAAATCAAAGTTGAATTTCATAATAGTTTTTAATGATTATTAGCCAAGTATATAAAACTATTTAATTTTATTCAATTAGAATTTAGAATCTTCAAATTCCACACCAAATCAACCACATACCTATAGCAAAGAAAATTGTTTCATATAATGCTTTCAAAATTGAATAATTTCATTATCTGTTAAAATTGAAAAATTCTTTCAAAGCGTAACATGCCTGCTTCATTTTAAAGTAAGAAAAAGAGGCAACACTCAACAAAAAAAAAGCCCATTATAATTATCAAAATGTCACTCATCTTTTTGTGAAATCTATCTGAAGTTGTCATCTTGTTCTGTAATGTAAAGGGTAAAATAAATTGAAATTTGATTTTCTTCATTTACTCATGTATTTCCGTGCATTTAGCGTATTGTCAATCTGTCAGTCAACAGGATTTGTATTTAACATTTTTGGTAATTTGGAATATTTGATTTACTGTATCACATACTGGATTGTTGTGATATTTTTGACAGTTGTGCAATACAGTCTAACTTGCCCATGCGACCACGTGTATTAAGCGACTTTTGTCTTAAACGACCACTTTACATCCCCCCCGATCATTTTCTCTCTATATCTTTAATGTATTAAGCGACTTTTGCTCAACGCGACCAGCGACCGCTAATTAGTCACCTAATTGAAATCAATCTTTTCATTAAACGACCACTTTTACCTGTCAAGTAATTGTGTTTTTAGAGAACGCCACCTCGTAATGTCACAAGTGTCAACAATCAAAACACAACAAATAAACGTGTGAAAAACTCTATTTCCCAAACCGTTTTAGCGTTTGCAAATGAAGTTAAGTATACCCGTGACGTGTATTATCCAATAATATCGGATAAACAATGCAACGCTCCGCCCCTACTGAGATGGTGTATACGCTTCGCTTGTTGACTTTAGACTGCATTGAATTGACCTTGAACTTGATCAGCAATTAAATTAATCGTAACAGTTAGACGTAGTTTGTTTATTTCAAATGAAAAAATGCACAACAGAAAACATCTTCACTAATACGGTTTTCGTGTTGGAGACAAGGAAAAACAACGGAGAAGTTAAAATATTCTGGAAAAAATGTCAAACATGTACGTAATTTGTCAATAAATATCAGAAAGGTTTTTTTTTACATTTGCATCGGAAAGTACTAATTATTCAACATTTATATAAAAATAAAGTTGAAAAACATTCCCACTTCATAAGAAAGATGTCATTTATAAATTTTGACTTTATATCATGCTGACTGTCTTAAGAGACCGTTTCATTAAGCGACCGTTTTGGGTGTTTCCCTTGCGCGGTCGCTTAATACAAGTTTGACTGTATATTGTGTATGTAATTTTTAATTAACTTACTTGAGATGGTAAGATTCTATATGAGATATGATTTCCATCATCTTGTTAGATTTGCTTTTCCTGTACATTTTGTACAATCAAGTAGTTATTATTAACTTTGGTTTTATATAGGTCATGATTTTTTTCTGAAAATTTCCCGTTGTGTCACTAGCATTTGATGTCAAGTCTTTTTCTTCTATTGTTTTGACAATGTGGTTATTTTAGGATGTTAATTTTGCTGAGCAGTCAGTGAATTTCAAAGCATAAGTTACCCAGTATGGTTAACCCTTTCCCCCATGAGCATATTGTGAAAAATGGCCGTTTTCACTGAAAAGCCTCCTGTTACAAGTTCAAACTGCTATGAAACCAATACTAATCAAACTTGGCACAAATGTTGACTTGACCATTATCAAACTTGGCACAAATGTTGACTTGACCATTGCCTTTGTAACGACATGCTCAGTCTTAAATTTCCTGTTACCATGGCAACGAGGGGACATCTCAAAATTGCCAAAAATCACTATTTTGCCTCGATTTTTTCCATCAAAATTTATTTCAAAGTGCTGCAACTTCTCAAGGGATTGAGATAGAGTCAAAGGCTTTTCAGCGTTTGTTACACGTTACCTTATGATCGACCTGGGGTCATTTTTAGCCTCTCACAAGTCCAAAATTTTCTTGGCGGTGAGGGGGACTCCGCCCCCCCATCAAACCCCCCAAACAGAAGGGGGCACATCCCCCTTCTGGCAACCCCCTGATGTATCTTTCTGATGGGGGGCGGTGCCAATAAAGTGCTCACTTTTTTTAGCAACCTTTTTCAAACGAAAACATGTGTTTGGGGCTCAAATAGGACATTTTTTCACTATTTCAGGCCTAGAAAAGGGGGGGGGTCGAAAGTGCGTTGTTTCGCGTATATATGAGGTAAAGGGTTAAGTCAATATTGACCTTGAAGCTTCATTAACCTTTGACCTTAATAAGAATTTTATTTCTATATTTAGATGGTCAAGGAGAGGGAGGATGAATTGGGCAACATGGACAATCAGAAACGTATGGAACGTGTCCAGGACAAATTTCCTCACGATGACCTTCAGCTTCGTGACCTTGACCTTCAGGTGAGTTGATAAGCTTGATGACTGATTATAAATTCTTGTGTCAATCAAACAACTTGTAGATGAAGTGACAATGTCCTTTGTCTAAATTGGAAGATTTAGGGCGCAGATATGGTTTGACCGTATTACAATATGTATTAGTTGGATGTCATAAAATAAAATGTATAGTCAAGTTTAAGATTGTTGCAGTTTAAATGTTTTGCTTTCACCCATAACCTGCTGATAAGCCTTTGCATCTGTGCAGTCTGACCAGGCTCTATACTGTTGGCTGACCAACTTCAAATTGTCGTTTGATATGTCTAAAATTTAATTTCCGAAACAAGATGCTGGACAAGTCCATTTAAGAAATTCAGCAGGTAAAGGTGATTAAATTACAGATATGGTCAATGTAATCTACTAATAAAAGACATCCAAAAAAAATTATAATTCAGACCAAACCAATGCTTGCGTTTTAAAGTTTTGTCAGTAAACTTGCATTTGAGTACTGCTTTTAATGTAAGTTTGCTCAAACATTTACTTAATGTGATCATCAAAAAATGAAAATAGGCCTAAACAGCATACAATTTCATTCATTAAGTTTGCAAAGGATAGAATGGGTTACAAAAACTGTGTGAAGAGATGCAAACTATATTTTGAGTGTCACGTTTAACGACTTTTTAATTAATATTATTACATGCACAGCAGTGATAGAAAATATAAAGTTGTGTTATTTACCTGGGCGGAAAACATCCACCGCCTAGTAGTAAATCATAATGATCTGTTAACGTAACTGCATAAATATTGGGGCATATTTATGCAGCATCATTCTGCCATTGATGTTTTAATGGTGTACGCATATTAATGGACTTGCAAATGAATTTTAATGCCGGAGAGTGTTGAGCGCAAGACTGTGTTATCTGCAAATGCTATTAAAATTAGAAAAGATGTAATATTATCTCACTGTGTTTGTGACCAGTTTTAAAGCTCACATTTGTTGGGTTTTTTTAGCGTTTAAGAATGACAAAATCAACATAACAAAGTTTTGTTTTTTTTAACATTGATAATATACTGAAATAGAGTAAAAGAACTGAAATAGAGTAAAGTTATGTGTCAAATATTGAGTAAGATATACATAAAGTTATTCTTTTATTAGGAAATCTTTACTCCATTCATACTTAATTTGCGTTTTCTCTGATCTGATTAATATTACTAGCTTATCTTTAAGGAATATATTCTGACTTTTGGTCAAATGTCATTTATATGACAGAACACTTATTATGTTCAGAGGAAAAAAGAAATAAGAGAAGCACCTTTAAACTATAGGCTGAAAGTGAAATATATCGACAGGTATGATACATTTGTATATTCATATGTAGTTGACAAATATGCGTCAAAAGCTTCCCTTGGTCATCAAACACAACTAGGTAACCACAGATTAGTACTAAGGTTCTCAGTTGAAATCAGTATAGTTATTGACAAGTATCTGGTCCAGATTGATCGTTATTTTGCCCTTAAGACCTTAAAGTGACCAAATTGTTTGATCTTAACACAGGCTATGAGTGACAAAAATGTGTGGTCCTATTTGGAATTAAATTAAATCCCATAGCCATAATTAAACTTTAAAGGAATCTCTTGAAAAGTCAATTAAGGTGAAAACTTGTATTATCATAGGAAGTTACAGAAGCCCGGGGATTATGGGTAAAACCAGACTGGGATCAGACACCTGTTAAAGACTGGTTACGTTTTTATGCTTCAGAAAGTGTCAAGGCCAGTAATCATGGATATTTAGGTTACATTTTATTATCTTTCTTTACCTTTTAATCCAGTGTGTCTTAAAAGATTATCCTTCATTTAGTGAAAAATGTATTATCAATGGACACAATAGCAATTTCAATATGGTTTAAGTAAGAAGGATCCTATATGGTCATGTACAACCTAAATATAGTCGTGTGAAATTATACCGCCCAGCATTGCTGCTTTTAATCAGTATTAAGTGTAAATATCCTAGGTTCAAATCCCTCATATGGTATTTTCCACACAGGTTTTTAATTATTTACCGAAAATGGTTTGACGCTTGATGGCAAAATGTTTTAGTATATAGAAAGTGTTTTTGACGTGTTAAATAATTTTATTTTTTTTCAACTTTTTCTGAGAACATTTGTTATTTTTACTTGTGCATTACCAGTTTAGTCTCAAAACATGAGAATTTAAGTTTCAATTGGTAACCATGGCAATAGATGATTTCTTTAATTTGATAAGATACACGACTCATTAGATTGTAATGTTCGTAAATGGAAACTTTACACTTAATTATTCATTACTTTAAAAGTCATTTGCCAAATTTTCCGCCTATAAAATTAGGATGGTTTAACAATGAATTAGTAAATTAGAAAGTTAAAATTTACAATCGCACTCCTAGTTTGTCATTAATGGACACATATTTTTCAGATGAATTTACTCCACTGCGTTATCGTTGTGCGCTGATGTACAGTTTAAACCGTGGCCTTACCAGGCGTTTTTAAAAAGATTTATAGTTTTAATTTCTCATCTTACAAACGATCAGTCATGTGAGACGGTATGCCAGAATAAAATTAGCATTACGAGCTTGTGTACACTATGCAAATAGTTATGATATTAAAGAAAAGACTGATTGTTTAAAGTGTACTGTCCCGTTTGGTACAACACCAAATGAAATAATCTTACACGGTCTATATAGATTAAACCATACGTATATGGTGACAAAAGATTTGTCCATCGTTTCACCTTCTAATTTGGGTGTTAAAGAGGGTTTTATTCCACCTATATGCACACTGTGAACTGGTATTAATCTCTGTTTACAATAATGTATAGGCCAAAGCCCAGTCACAGTTTTATACGTTTTATAGGTTTTTGGGAGCATATAAACTTAAAAGCATGTGTTGGGACAAATTAGCAGATAACATCTTTAAATTAACAATTTCCCGAACACTCTCGGGTTCGTAAATGAATTAAATATATGAAATAAACATTTACCGTAGTATTGACTTTGGATAGACCGAGAACGACATTTTTATAAAGGTGATTATGATAATTTTATTCCTCGTATTTGAATTTTTGAACATGGTGGATAATTATTACGACATTCAACATCTGTGATAAAAAAGTGAAAAATAAACGTAGGAATTACAAAGTAAAGTTTATAAATTTAGCTTATTGACTGGTAAGTGGAACAAATACTTCATAGGTGAGTTTGTTTTGGCATTTTTTAAGACCGTTTATTAAAAATAATAAACTTTACACAAGTTTGAACTGGGCAAGTGATAAAATAGTGTCAGATTGTCATTATTTTGACATTATTTTGTAAATTTTACTGACAGCTCGACTGGGTTTGGTGTTTTTTTGTTGAGCAAATATGCATTCAGATGCTTGTTTCTTCTGCACATGATACATATTAAGCAGTAATATTATACAATGCTATTATTTTCATATGCAAATCAGTGTAAAAATTAAAGTGAGCACAATGATTTTATAAATACCATAATAAAGCATGCTTGTGCATGATGGGAGATTTTAAATGTAGAGGAATTTCTTATACATAACTGAAGAAAAGTGGGGTTTGAACCAGGTCCAACACTGACTTAAGAAACTGTAGGTTTGAACTTATTGTCCAGTGCTACTATTGTCCTCTTAGGGCTAAATGCACAGACAAAAAGCATTGGTAAGTTATGTTTCAGACAAGACATTGATGTCTTTCAGTATACAGAATGAACCATTCTAAGGCCAGTCTGCACAATCATGTGAGAAGACCGGCAAGGCTCTATACTGTTGACCAGCATGTTTTGAATCTTTCATCTTGATATCCCTAAAATTGAAAGCTGGACAAGTCCATTTAACTTAAGACATTCAGTATGTTATTAGGTTTCAAAATATGATTAAAAGGGTTTGAGCCAATTTGTAAGGATGAGAGGATTTGGTATGAAAGCAACTCCTTGGATCAAGTGGTCATTTAGTAGAGTATCACTACTATGACTGTATGGATTCACATTTTTTGGACAGTAGCTTGCATTTTTTTCCCACAACAGTCCATGAAAGGTACAATCGAACTGAGTCTGTAAAATTTTCAGGTTTTCACTGTTTATGGACTTTAAGGTTTCCATTTTGACTATATCAGTTTATAGGACCTTACTTCGTCACATGACAACAGCACTGGTTTAGTTTCAGGAAGCATACTCAAAATTGATCAATTGAAAGTCATAAAGAACTTTTATTCACAATCGATCTTGAAAAAAATATGTTTATCATAGAGTTTAATTACTTAATCTGCAATTTCCATTAGACTTTTTAACTTTTACCCAGATGCAATAAATTGCAGAAATTATTCAACAGTCATTGTATTATACACTGTGTGTCAAGAAGACCTGCATATTGAAAATACTTTAACAAAATTTTTTCAAAAGACGGTCATTAAGCCATGAAGTAATGAAATACTCGTAAAGTTATTTCTGATCTTGTTTGAATTTCTTGATGCTAGGAGAATCAATGTTCCATCCCATAGTTTCATATGCTATTTCTGATTTATTCGGTTAACTGTAATAAATGAAAGAATGCACGAGGCCCTGATTGTGGCTTTCGAAAAGCGTGCAGCGTTCGTAATCTTGGTTTTATTTACATTTTTTTTTAAATATAGCACATCAAAGACACCTGATAGTAACTATAACATATCACAATGAATTGTCTCATCAGATCGAAATGAAATGTAACCAAATACTTCCTCGAGACCTTGTGACACATGATTTTGTCGGGTCAGTAATGACAGGGCAAGATGTTTGATAAGATTATTGCCGATTTAGAGACCTTTTTAGTTTAAAAATACCTATTTTTGCTTGATTTTGATTAAGACTTGAAGTTAACTTGAACCGCACTCTTGTCTGCATCCTTGAAACAACAATTGCCCTTAGAATTATCGTGAACCTAAGTAGGGTTTGAACCTACAATCCCTAGGTTCACAGGCATAGACAGTTCCCTATCTGCAGTAAGTCAAATGC